AAAAAAAGCACGCATCTGGCCCAAAAACACACGTGCGAATGGCTTGAAATGTCCTTGACCCGGATGTGCTTGCTTTGAAGTTCCCGCCCCTCCCACTTGCGCGAGCGATGCGCCTGATCCTGCGCGAGCCGTTTCATCTGACAGACGAATGTATTTGTAAAATTAGCCGCATAAACATACAAATTTTGATATGATTGCGATCAAAATGCCTCATGGAATCGACGATGCGCCTTCCTGAGATCTAATGATGACAGAAGAAGCGTTTTAATCGGCGCGAGGATCGATGGAGAGACTTTAATGTCAGATTGAACCGCTAAGGTGAAACTCTGGTGAGCTGACAGGATCAAAAACAATACAATAATCTAATTTAGCTGAACAGTTTATAAGAAACTGATTCAATAAACACGCCTTTGTGTCTAATATAATACTGCTGTGATTTATAAACAATGTGAATGCAACTAAACTGCTCACTGCCTGATCCACACTGAGAGATGCGTAGATTCATTAACTTACATTAGAATTATTATCGAATTATTTCTTTGATAAATGGTTTTGGTGTAATATAATACTTGGGAGATTTTATATATATATATATATATATATACACACAAAAGCTGAATGGTACCAATCTGCTAAGCACAAGGTCAACCCAGAGATATTATACAAAATGTAATTAAGTTACTTGTATACTTTAATTGTTGCATCAGCATTATGCAAAGATCATGTTTTCATGTCTAACTGTTCTGTGGTTTTACATGAAAAAGCAGATATATGCATTCGTTATATGTAACTTAATTGGTTATTTTGGGGAATGTGTGAGAACTTAATCATAAATTGGGTTATTCTTTGACTAATCTTGTTAGTATGTACCTAACGTTACATGTTATAATAAGCAAGGTTTGACTTAAGTATTTTAAAATTAATCTAAAAATGTTAATTATATTTATTTCTGTTCAACATGTTATGTTAATATATATTAATTATATAGGGCTAATTATTTATGTGAGTGCGTGTTTATTTTATATAAGGCTTTCTATCTGCATCTGTAGTCTCTGGCCCTTCTGTCTGCCCTCCAATCTGTCAAAGGCACCTGTTGTGATCACCTGTTTCAAGCATTCCCTGTCAGTGTATGGATGTGGGTCAGGTTGCTTAGTGTCTATTTTATGTTTTTGTTTTCTGCCTCGATCCAGTGTGCAAACTGTATGTTGTGTTTATGTATTTTTAAATAGATGAATAATGCCTGGGAAGTTAAAGGCGAAGATTGTTGCCGGGCGGCACCTGCCTGTCATGGACCGTGCCAGCGATCTCACAGACGCCTTTGTGGAGGTCAGTCAAGTCTGTTAATGAAGTCACTTTGCTATGCACATTCGATCAAAAATGCTGCTTAAGTAGTATATCCCTTGATTTATCATAGAGCAGCACTTATGAAGTGTCGTTCCACAGGTGAAGTTTGGAAACACAACATTTAAAACGGATGTGTACCCCAAATCCCTGAATCCCCAGTGGAATTCAGAGTGGTTCAAATTCGAGGTAAGGTCTTTCTACTTGTCCTGCTTTAGGTTGTATTTTTGAGGAGTTTATTCTCTCTGTTCATCTTTCTTTTGCCCCTCAGGTGGATGATGAGGATTTGCAGGATGAGCCATTGCAGATAACTGTTCTTGACCATGACACATACAGCGCTAATGATGCCATAGGAAAGGTGTACATTGACATTGATCCACTGCTCTGCAGTGAAGCTGCTACTGTCATTTCTGGCTGGCTCCCCATCTACGACACTATACATGGTGTGTGTCCACAAGCAAATTTAGTCTGTAATATTAAAGAGTTCTGACTTATTTTGTTCTAATGATATGCTTGTGTTCAGGTATAAGAGGGGAAATCAACGTTCTGGTGAAGGTGGATCTCTTCAACGACCTGAACCGCTTCAGACAGTCTTCATGTGGGGTTAAATTCTTCTGTAGTAAGTATCTAGATCATCTGCTGCTTCCATATCCTCCTGTACTTCTTTTCTTTCTTCCCTCTGACGTTCTGTTTCCTCCACTTTCTGCCCTGCTTTGCTCTCCTTCTTGTCTTTATTTTGTCATTCTCAATGAATTCACAATCTGGTTCTGTCTCTCTATTTCTTCAGCAACATCCATTCCCCGATGTTACCGGGCCATTATGGTACATGGCTTTGTGGAAGAGCTTGTGGTAAATGAGGATCCAGAGTACCAGTGGATCGACCGTATCAGAACCCCTCGTGCGTCCAACGAGGCCAGACAGAGACTCATCTTTCTCATGTCAGGTACTAATATTTTTGAGGGGTCATGTGGCACTGAAGACTGAAGTAATGGCTGCTGAAAATTCATCCTTTTCATCACAGGAATTATATTACATGTTAGAATATTTTAAAAATAGAAACCAGTTCATTTAAATTGTAGTAATATTTTACAATATTACTGTTTATAGTTGTTTTTGATCAAAGAAATGCAGCCTTGGTAAGCATATGACACTTATTTAAAAAAAATATAAAAAGTCTTGCCAGCCTAGATCTAGGACTTTTTGATAGCACAGTATAGGCCTATTGATCTACTCTGACTAAGTGTACTTTAAGTTGCTTTGGATAAGAT